TCTTTATGCATTTCCATTTATCATATCACTAACCTTGCGTCTCTTTTCATCTTAATATGTTTATTTACTTTTTTCTCTTTTTCTTTCTCCCTCTCTCTCCTAAATTCTCTCCCTTCATTACCACATAAATTTATCCATTTGTTGAAATGTAAATTTCAAATTTTATGAAAAAGAAGAGAAGGAGAAAAAGAAAAATTCAATTCTTTTATTTAAGACAAATTAAGATAACTAATTAAGATAACGTTAGTTGGATTAAAAATATTTTAATAGTATAGTGAAAATTTTATTATTTTAAATATTATAGAAATTAAAATGATTACATCAATTATTTATTATATTTTAATTATAGTAAGCAAATTTTTTGTTTGGAATTTTGGAAGGAATATATTTATCGTTTTGAATTTTGTATTTCCAATTGACAAACAACAAATAAATTAAATATAATCAATCTAAGTGAAGAGAAGAGAAGAGAAAGATTAATGTGAAATTTATTTATCACCCACTGACCAATGTAAATGAAAATAGAGTTGATGGATTATGAATATATATGGTTGGTTAGTTGGATGGATGAATGAACGGATGGATCGAAGAGCTTCATTGCTCATCCAAACAGCTTTGTCATTAATTCGCTCATGCTGACCACCATACAACATCATCGAATGTCCATTACAGTAATCCTACGAATTATTTCAACCCATTTTTTTCAATTAATTTGGTAATAATTTTTCCAAAAAAAAAATAATTCAAAAATTTATTTTTATAAAACAATTATTAGAAATTAAAAAGAAACTTCTAGCATCAATCAAACAATCATTCCGTCTTCTTTCAATCTAAAAGAAAACAAAGAAGCATTGTAGAAAAGCAGTAATAAATATCAAATGAGCCAAGTAGTGTAGACGCAAATATCTTAGAGAAGAGACAATCATTGAATTATTATTAACTTTAAAGCCAAGTAATTTCTATTATCAACTATCCAATGAATGCATTCATTAGATAGATTTTTACATATCTCTCAATTCGTAATATGTGATTGATCGTGATTATATAGCGGCGATACATATATAAATGTTCGATATTTCAGGCATTTATATTACCATGGATTTGTTGTCTTCTCTTTAATCATTTAACAACGAATCGATTGTTCAAATTCAATGAAGGTAATAAAAATTGATCGATCACTCATCTTATCTTATCTTATCGATGTCTATCCGATTTTCAGTATAATTAATGCTTATTTTTGTCAAACTTTTTATATAACCTGAAAGCATTTAGAAATCAAATGATAACAAATTTTATTGAGATATATTGCATAGAAAAAAACATCATGATAAAGTTGAAATAAAGTTTTCAATATATGCTAGAAATTTTCAGGAAAATATTATTTTAATTAGAAATTATCATAAATGAGCATATAACTAAATGGCTAATGATTAATGTGTAAATCATTATGATAAGAGATAAATTAACATGTAACTCTTCTAACATTTCTTTGCAAAACCTTCCCAAATCTTTATGAATTCACAAAATCATATTGAATATTTATTTGAAATAAAATTGTAATTGATAGTATCAGTTATTTCATTATTAGCTTATTTAACTTTTTCAAGATTGAATTGAATTGAAAAATTTGTCAATAATTTAATAGTTCATTACTATGAGCTATATCGAATATTATTTGATCATAAATGACAAATAAATTGATTTATATTATTGCAGATTTTCACTCGTCCCATTCTTTTCCAATAATATGATAAATTTGTTTTTCCAAATTAATAGCAAATTTAAAGCAAAAATAAATATCCCTCAGTGGAATTAAACTATAATTAATAATAGTTTTTGTTTTGCAGAAATATCTTTCAAAAGTCTAACAACAACTGATGCATATGTAATATATTCATTTTTTGTTTTTAAACATCTCAATTCAGATTTCATTTTATACCTTAAAATTATCTTTGTGTCTGAGGAGAAGAAATGAATATGTGATAAAAAGGATACCATTATAAAAATTATTGCAGAAGCAATAAAAGTATTTTCTTTTACGACAATATCAATCAATCAGCAAATATGCTTAGGAAACATTAAAATGGAATCATTTAAAGATAGTAATTAATCCTAATTAATGACAATTTCGAAATGTAAGTGATACATAAAAGGAGGGAATATGTATCAAACATATAACTTGCTATTTATGATCAAATAATATTTGACATAGCTCATAGTAATGGACTATTTGTTGAGGTTTTATAATTATATAAACAAAAATAAATAATGGCAATATACTAATTATTTATTTCACATATTAACAAAGACTATATAAGAAACAATCCTTCTATAATTGGTTATTGAAATTCCACCATAACTATTAATACCAAAGAAGTAGTATAGAAGGATAGAAAGATATATAGAAAGATTATAAGGTTATAGAAGAATCTATCGCGTTCATGAAGAAAAAAGTGAAGTTCCGTAAGAACTCTTTGGGCTGAGCCGGTGATCGAAACCGGGACCTCTCGCACCCAAAGCGAGAATCATACCACTAGACCACTCAGCCACGCTATTCGTACTGATGAATTTCTCTTAACAATTTTTTGATAATTTTTTAATGATATATTGAAATATTATAGTAAAATGTATAAGACTAATTACACGACTATATACGAAATAAGTAAATAGTATTATCATTCATCTTTTGTTTGCTTAATCATTATCAAAGCTTAACAGATAATTCATAACTATGAGCAACAATGAATACTATTTGATTATAAATGACAAATTATATTATTTTAATATGTAATTTTAAACATATATATTTCAAATATGTAACACGTAGATATACGAAGTTATTTTCTGACATTTTAATTTCATATCAGGTAGCTCATCAATCGATCTTGTTGTATCCATAGAGGACTGGTTAAAATGAAATAAATTAAACTGTGAAATTTATAAACTAAAACCTGAAAGACAAATTAATAAAGAAATGATGAGATAAAATATCCAATTTGTAAATTTTCAGCTTATATTTTACGGATCGTTACAGTCTACTTAATTCAAACAAATGATGGAAGAACTTGTTCTCCTTGCTAATATTACAATAAACGGGATACTTTATTAATCATTCCGATGCTATTAATGAGCATCATAGATTAGAATACGGCGGGACTGTCTTATTTATCGGTAGACGGAAGATAATAATTTCTTTACCTGAACATGTTATTCTATCGATGATGTCGTCTCATCGATCAAATAATACCGATACTGTTGTCTTTTGCATTTCTTTCAATAACCTTTCATTACATTCAACCATATTCATGAATAATAAAGAGACAAAATGAGAGTGTCAAGCCATTTGTTCATTTGTCTTATTCGCACTACCGTATACTTTCACAACGCTGTTTCGTAATGGATTTATGAGATAATACAAAATTGATTTCATGATTCGTGTTTCCGAAATCCATACATGTAAGCTATCATTTTTTTCCGAATCATACTCGTACTACGTTAATTAATCCACTTTACTCAAAACACCGTAGCATTTACTTTAGTATATATAAACCACAATTTGTTTTGAATACCAAAAAGTGATAAAATAACAGGAGAGCAAATGCATCCTAACCTTACATTCCAGCATAATGGATGATGAAAAAAAAGACAAAAGGCACTCTGATTAAGCAAAATAACAAAATTTCTTAAGCAATCGAAGAACTATTATATTACTGACTAGTTAAAACACAATATGAAAAACTCAAACATGATCCAGGAACAGAAAAAGATAATTTAGGTAACAATATTCAGTTAACCAAACTATATAAAATAATTTTAAAAAAGTGCAATCAAACTTGGCAGGAAAATATATGACACGAAAGTAAAATGAAAATATGGGAATCGCGTGCAAATAATAACTTTTGATTCAAAGTTAAAGAAAACATTTGAAATAATTCTGCTAATTAATGTGGATCATTTCTTACAGTTTCTATAATAATTAACCGGATATGATTGTTGCCTTATCTGCGATTGCTACTGGTTTTGAATGATCGACATAAATCTCATACGGGGTAACCTAAGAAAGAAGCTTAATACCTATAAACTTTATATTTTTTGAGACGAAATAAGAAAAACACGAAGGAACTCTTCTATAATAAACAATTTGGGTATCTCCCGTTAATGCTACATTACTCAAATAGGCAGGTCAATATAATATAAGCAAAGACAAAGTAAACAATAAATTGTTTGTCCATGCCTCTAAACTCAGGTGATGAGACCAATCCAAGCATTCAATAGATGATAAATGGAAGAAAGAATTACGCTACAAGACTTCAATGGAATTGGGGCCTTGTCAGCGTAATTCTTTTCCATCAATCCAGCTAAAAACTCTAATGCGAAAGCATGGGAAGAAAATATAACTAACTATATATCGAGTAGGGAGTATAATGCGTGCTCGTTTGAATGGTTGAAGTGGAGCATTCCTTGTAGTGATGTGCTCTACATGTATGCGACGGATTAAATAACTCCCAACTGTGAAAGAAGTGTTGTAAATAAGGGAGAGAAGTATATTGTACAAAATATCTCAATAATTCGAATACAGTACTTTTTCTAGAATTATAATATAAAGAAAGCTAATAAAAATTGTCTAACAGTACTTACTACATTTTTTACAAATTAAACGTGGCTGCATGGTAAGGAAAAAGAAAATTCTCTAGTATTTGTCCTTACCATTAGCCTATCAATTCATAAATAAACCAATACTTGTACAGCAGTGAGATAATTAATCAAGAAAACAAAGTAAAGCAAATGATACAGCACTGCTGTGTTGCCAAAAGAAACTCCGCGCATCCTAGTATATCATGCACTGAATTTTTCCAATAATAGAACGATCCAAATCTCTCTCTTTCCTCACTGCTCTTATTTTTCTATTTAGTCCAAATGAACATGAAACAAATGACGAAATTAATATCAGTTTAACACAAAGAAGAGTCACGACCTCTCATGAGACGCTCTCATCACAATCAATATCGATGGCGATTTGAATGTCTGCAATAAAATTCAGAATTGAATTAATTAGTTTTCCATTACATCGAAGAAATGAAATTAAACAGTAAAAAACTTCTGATAATTAAGATTTGTCTTGGTCTTATTTAAAGTGATTTTATCATATAAGTTGACTGTGTATTTCAGTAGTTTCATGGTACTAAAACTGAAATAATTATAAGAAAATGATCTAATGATATTGAAATGTTTTATGACCTAAAGGTATGTCAAAATAAGAACAGCAAAATACAAGGAACACAAGAACGTGGAGATGCAATGTTATATGCTAACATGCTGTTTGTTTTTGTGCAGTTACAAAACAAAAAATTTTCATCCAAATACAAATCACTCGTTGTGCATCTCTGAAACGGATACTTAGAAATAAATATAGTATAAATATATGGAAATATAAATATATACCGTCTAAATAATTCGTGTTCTGTGTGAGAACTTTCATGCCAATTATTTTTAGATGAAGTGTGAATTTGATATGAATCATATTTGTGTCCTGATGATCGTTCTGAGCTATGTGTTTTCTCACGACTGAAATAAAAGCAATACAAAGAAGTTGATGAAAAATCGAATTGCAGAGGGAAAGTGAAAACTCACTCCGATGACTTGGAATGATGATGACGACCGTGTATCAAAGGACGGCGCCTCGGTGATAATCTCTTTGGCGATGCACGACGTTTTCTCAAGGATGACGGTAAACGAGCACTTTTATATGAAGGATATGAAACCGCAACATCCATGAGGGGAAGCAGTCGGGAAGAACTCTATAAACACAGAGACAAACCATATCAAACACATTATATGACTTTTATTTCCTGCACAGCAAGAATGAATAAGAAAAGGCTGAACTTGTCAGAGTAACTTTTGGCAACTCTTACCCACAGATAAAATAGAAATCCCTCTAAATTTGATTAGCTATTAATTTAAACACATACATAGTTTTCTGTTCCACAATTCTTCCTGCTACGGCTACTATGTCTACATGAGGACAACAACATAGCAGGAGGCCGTTCTTCACTCAACAAATCTTTCAAAGTTTTCTTTACCGGTAGGTTTCTGAAACTTTTCAAAATATAGAAGTAAAACCCTTCAGTCACCCTGTTGCCCTAGTGCCAACACAATATATGTGCAATAATTTTTAGCTGCACTCTTAGGCGAACAAAAAACAACGGTATCCATAAGGCTACAGTGTAATGCATATGTACCACGTGCAAAAATGCAACAAAACTTGAACACACCAGCAGTTAACTACTTTTTAAATTTTTTTAGTGAGCGATCTCTAAATCGCATGAAATGAGAAAAGGTAGAGCTTGTGAAGTAAAAAAAAGCCATAATTGCGAAACTTCTTTGGTATTAATCAAGAATGTTCCGGGATTTTTAAATCACTTGGTTCGTTGCTTTCAGTTTTAATGAAAAGAGAAGTACAATAGCTTGAAAAGGAAAAAGATTCTCTTATAAAACAAACTCCCCTTAAGAAACATAACAATTATTGAGAAACTACCTCTTCGCATTTCTGAATTCTAAATAAGATATTTCAGTTTCTAATAAAGACGGTAGTTTTTGTGAATTATCTCGAATTTTCATTTTCAGTGCTCTCAAATCAACACTGTCATCAAATGGAAATAGGCTGCAGAGTCGCTGACCTGCAGCACGCTGTATTTCACAACCATCTGCAGCAGCATATATCACTTTTTCTGAAAAAAAATGCAAAAAAATGGTATGAATAAACCGAGCGGAATACTTTAAAAATTTCACATTAAACATCCCCAGTAAAAGCAATTTATTTTCTGTTTGCAGACAGAAAAAGCAAGTTTGAAAAAACTCTAATTTTGATTCGACAGCATTCCAAAATAAGAAATGATTCAAACCATCGTGATTCACTTTCTGATAACGACCGTAGAGGAAAATACACCAGTTAAATTATTTAATGGTTTTACAATAGTTTCTGGGTATATAACTGAGAAGGGAATTCGTTCGAACAGGGAAGATATACAAAACTTTATATTATGGAAATGTTTGTTTAACAAAAATCTCCTGAAAATTATTCGGGAAAGAAAATTTTGGTGCTATAACTTGAGCAAATCCATATCTCGAATATGCTTATGCAGAAGACAGCGGTTGTTGCAATACAACAAAAACTCGTTTCAATTGAAGCAAATATACCTTTATTGAATGGATTCTTAATATGATCACTTGCACTAAGTGCAAGCGGACACTTTGTAATCCACTGCAGCTTGATGTTGCCACCGCCTTTGAAATCAACCCATCTCATTGCTGGTTGACTTCTATATAGCGCTTCTGAACACATTCGTGCAAAACCTGTTAAAAAAAGTATTAGGCAAGACCTGCAATGCTTCCTACTTTTAGAAAAGTTATATATTTGCATCTACAAATTAAGTCTGAAATACAATGTATTACCAGCAAAATGATCCGCATTTCGTGCAAGAAAAACCAGAATCACAACCGGAGCTCGCCGATATGCCTCAGCCAGAAGTTTTTCGACAAATGGATGGGTTGTCCACAATGATGTTTCCATCGCCAACTTGATATTTTCTTCACATGCTCGTGCTAAGAAGAATTGTGCACGATGCATCAAACACTCTATTTCGACCGATCCTAAATGAAACGGGTATCTATAAATCCATAAACTGTACCTTCAAGAAGTGATGTGTAAAGCTAAATAAAATAAGGAAAATAAGTTCAACTTTCTTTGCAATTGATATCAACATTATTTCCAGCAGTTTTTAATTGATATCAATTTCTTTGCAATTGATATCAATTCAAAACTGCTGGAAATAATGTCAAAAAAATGTACAATAATTTACCTGCACAAATGACTGCATCTGGTCGTTTATATTTATACGATTCTGCTGAATGTGCTCTTTTATATATCGAAGTATCTTTTTTCATCAAAGGCACTGAATTACAACGAGATGGTTCTAATGTTTCTTCTGCAAAATTCAAAGAAACACTGACCAAGACCGGATAACGTACACAAGCACTATTCATGATATATAAGAAATAATATTCCTCAAGAATTCTATTGAATCGTAAGAACAGTACAGAGTAATACAAAGGAGAAATCCATTGGGAAAGAACCAACTGTAATCAACTGTAATTTGATCACTCAGAACAATCCATGACACCAGATCTGCGTATTTTATATACGGATAAATACTAAATCTCATATGCATTTAAAACTAGTCAATAAAGTAAATACGATATAAAAAATAACCATGCGTTTCGTTGCATTCATCTCGCACCACCAGATCCAACGCCACATCGGCCTCATCCAACTGGTCAGAATGATCTTCCACAACAACTATGACACTATCATTACTGACAACTTGTGCTGGACAATATCCGAGTTTGTCATTACTGCCATGGTTTTTTTCAGCAGACTCAGGAGAACTCTGTTTGCCTGTGCCGTAACTGTCATCGTTATCATGTTCACCTGCATTCTCTGGTGATGATTTGATACCTGGTCCTGTCTGGTAACTGCTGGACGGACTTGAAGAATCGTCTTCATCTACAGGTGGGAAAAGACTGCATTTTTAATCTTCTTTTGAGAATATGGTGCGATTCAGAGTTTAAAGTTCGAGAAAGATATTGTTGGCATGATAAATGCTGACCAGCGGTGAGATAAAGAGAAATTAGAATGACAAGGACTCATGTAGTCAGTATAGGCAACCTGAATTGGCGATTTTCTACGCACTTGTTTCCCAACATCAGAGTCAAAGTTCATAGGAAAAATAGAAGCCTTAATGGGAATGACATAGTTGGAAATGTAAAAATAGCGTTTTCTAGCGAATAAAATAGTTGGAGCTGTCGATACTCTTATCAGATTGGAACAAGAGTGGCTGGAACTGTTGACCGACTTACCATCTCTGCCAACTAAGCGAAACTTGGTTGGTAAATGAAACTGGAAAGTCTATGCAGTAAGAGAAACCGCCTTCTCCTACAGATCAAATTCTGATGGGACAGGGAAGACAACAAATGGAACGATAAAGGAGAAGTTTCATAGATGCAGGAATGGCATTGGTTATCGATTTGTATTTCAACACAACAGGGACAATAATCCCACCGAAGAGCAAAGCTGAAAGAAAAGAGCAGAATTTTTTAAATAAAATTTCAACTTAGTATAAATGTTCAAATTTACGAAATCAAAAGTCTCCGAAGTCTGCGGTTATTTTAAGGTTGGAAGTAAAATGCTTTGAGATGCTTAATGGTGCTACTAAACACACGATTCACATCAACGTTACTGCATTCCAGTATATGACCCAAGTCACTACGTTAAGATAAAAAAAACCATATCCCTCTAATACGAGAAAGTTGCATTCTTTGAATCCCATGTTTTTTTTGTGATAGGTACCCCGCTGCTCATTACTATTGGGAAAATACAACTGTTTACAGCCTCATCATCTACCGACGTCAAAGTATTTCGTTTCTGGTCTACTTCTAAGCAATTTAAATACTGAATAAGCACTAACTGTTTTACACTCGCATTATATAAATAGGTAAGTGACTAATCATCACAGGTAGCATCGTAGCGAAGTCTTGTGTAATTTCACTAAGGATCATTTATGCTTTCCGTTAAAAGACTACAGGCAAACTTTCGTTTGTATGTCCTTTTTAGAAGAATAAATCGTTTTGGAACAATTTGAACTAATCGTATCAAATGTTCAACAACTGAAACATTACTCGATGAAATTCAAACTCTTATCTTCTTCCTTGTCAATTAATTGAAAAAAATAATTTATGCCAAGAACTGAAGTGGTAAGTATCAGACTGAATCAGAATAACATATAGAGAGCTTAATGATACAAATGCTTTTTTAAACAGTGCAAAAATGAAGGAAAATTATTTCAAGTGTGAAATATGGGAGAAAAAAAAAGCTTACCATCATCGGAAAAACCTGGTGAACTATACAATGTTTCATTGTTGGACTTCGCCATCAAAATTACCTTTTTTATCCACCTCGTCTAAAATTTAAACTTAATTTAGATTATTTGAAAAACAGAGCAATGCGCAAATCATATCACACATCTAAAATTTAAAATTGTTAACGATATAAACTACTGAACAAAGAATTCTACAAGCTGAAATGCTAGAGTTTATAACGCACATTTTAGAATATAAAAAGAGATCACTTCTTCATTGCATCAACAGCATTGAAAGATGTATACATAAAAGTGTGAAACTCGCATGTCAAATAAAATTATGCATTTCTTGAGTTAAATTCACAAATATCAGATGACTACACGAAAAAATATGATTAAGATATAAGTACGAAGTCCATAAATACAAACTTAAAAAACAAACCAGCTCTACAAAATTTACTAAACATTTTTGATACAATGCTTCTATATCCACCACGTATCATACAATGAAAAATGGCTAAGAACTGATACGCAAAAAAATGTATTTATGTACTTACTATATAACACATTTTCTATGAGAGATCGAAGAAATAAGCGTAACATTTGTAAAGGTTAGTCTTTTTTTTCCTCGCATATACTATTTTTACTCACACTTATTGTATACTCTTCGCTTCCTAGTCAGTCATGTTTCTGTATTAATCTGGCATGTTATCTCCCTTATTGAATAAATTTACTATACTATTATTGGATTTATGTGTCTTACCACTCTAATTTTCTAACACTATTTCGCTTCTATTCTTTCATTCTCTTATTATATGCAAACTCACTTCCTAAGAATGATGAAGAAATAGTCCATAATACGAGAGAAAAGTAGAGATTGAGAATTTGGATGAGAGAGTATGTCTTCTATTTTGTGTACAATGAATAAAAAAATATTAATTTCTTTTAATTTTGCTTTATTTTATTGTATTTGAGCGTAATAATTCATGCTGATTTTTTAAAATTTATCTGTCGAGAAATAATCAAACAACAGAGATGAAATCACTTTTTCAAAAATAACTCTGCTTCTCATCCTTTCTATCCATTTTCAATCTCTTTCCTCAATTCTACTACAATATGAAGAGAATAAATAAGCATTCATATTATTATTATTATTATCCAAACATTTTCTTTTAGCTTCTTTTATTGCCAACATTTATTATTTTTATTTTATTACACTTTTGCCACTTTCTTTTATTTATGTTATTCACTTAATGTTTACATCACTCACAAATTACACATTAAATTATATGAAGTTGGCTGTAATATGATACTAAGAAATTTATACAAGATAGTGAGGGAACAATGAAGAAAATGTAAGGTTAAATAAAATTGGAATGCTTTAAAAGCAGATATTTATCATTTTATAACTAACCTGGAATAGATACAGGAATAGCCAAATCTATTGAATAAACATGGCATCGAGGATATTCAATAAAGAAAAATATCTCCTTAGCTACAAACATAGTAATGTCGAAGCTTGTAAAACATAAACAAGAAGTTTCGACAACCGGTTGTCAATCGTACTCGATGTCTTTGTCACAGTAATCAACTTCTTCATCTGTTTTCTCGATTACTTTTTCTTTTTTTTATCATTCGCATAATATTTTAACTAACCAGTGGTAAAATATCCCATAACTTTATAAAATTGCCGATAGTTTATTGTACATTAATTATTTCTGCAGATAAGACTTCTGGAAATACCTGTTTGGTCAAATGAACCATTTCTCTTTCTTAGTTCGTCGTCTCAATGTTTATTAAAATCATTCCACTGAAAAATTATAATTTCACTGATTCGCTGAGAATTAGTTGTTACTAGCATCAAGAATTTATTTGTCTTCTTGTACTGAACGAATCTTTTCAAGGATGAGTAAATACTTTTCTTTAAATTTGATTATTTCTTGATTTACAAAAACTATAGTGACAATCTTTAAATTCAAATGTTTGTTGATTTATTGATTTTTCTCCTATCATTGTTTGTGACTCATTTGAATCATCTGCTTATTCCGTTGGAGCTTTTCTGCATTTTCTATCACCAGAAACATATTTGATGACACTTTGCTTTGTTGTTCTCTCTACTTTATGTAAGCCGATCGTTTTCACTGTTGGTGAATGATGTTTTTGGAGCTTATAATATCGTTTTGCTACTCTTACCAATAGTTTAACATAAAAAAACGAATGAAAGTAAAACAATGAAAAATGAAAATATTTGCATTCTACTTTTTCAATTTGATTTGCCCTTTTTCATAGCCCATAGATTCCGTATTGATTAAATTATTATCTAATGCACTTCTAAGTTATGTTTCAAGACTTTACAAAAATTTCTCAATTCTAATATATTTATGGGATGGAATTCATTCACATATCGCTTGTCTTATTAAGAGTTATTATATTTTAGAATTAAAGAATGGCGTTTTAAAGTTATGGTGCGATATTTATTCCGCTTTAAATGCCATTATTTTTGCATATTCCTATGTGTTATTTTGATTTTTATCTGTTATCAGTGGCTATTCACTTTATTGTTGGCGAAGAGTGTTGCTGAGGAAAAACGAGTAAGTTAATAAAATTTCGAATTCTTATTGAAAATCTTATAGAATTTAATTTATGTGGTTTCATCTTTTTAAGCCATTTTTTTGTTGCATGTCTTTCAGCTACTGTAAATTGCAACACAACGTATCGGGAGATTTTAATAATTCAAAATTGTGTCGGTTTTGATGTAGTTGTCAAAATTGCTGTTGGAAACATCAACTTTTCTCGTTTCTATAAAGTATATATAATATCTTAATAATTTTTGGAATTTTATAAAACTGATAGGCAACGAAACTGTAGCGATTTCCATTAATGTTGAAATATAGAAATTTGGGGACTTTTCTAGCTATGATTGAAAACTCAAATGTGTGAACGAATGAAACATAAATTAAAAAATATATTAACCAGAAATGTTGAAAATTTACAGTTTTCTGGAGAAAATGCAGACGTGATATTTAACAAAAGCATTATAAATTAAATTATTTGAAAAGGAATTTAATCAAATATTTATGCTTAAATCTCCAATAAGTCTTGATGATGATAAATTCACTTTCTTAGCAATTAAACATTAAAAGTTCACTTATTGAGTAGACAGATCAAATTAGGTTTTTTAATAGTTAACTTTATAATTCTCTTTTAGAACCCTTATTGTGATATCTTATTATGATATCGCATGGGTCCTAAAATAAATATGATAGAGAGTGTTCATATTCGAAGTGCGTAATAATCGCAAGAGATTAATAATTGCATTAATCTCATGATTAGTAGCACGCGGACTCGCTGATTAACTGTGCTTTAAAATGGATTTTTTTGATACTTGTTGGTAGGATTATATCTGATATGAAAATTTTTGAGGTATATCCGTAAGTAAACAATCCTTTAAAATGGTTGTTTTGATGCTTGTGGATTATCCTCAAAATTAATTGCAATTGGATTTTTTAATTAAAATTAGATTGGATTTTTTCTGTGTTGCTTTTATGTCACGCAAAATATATCATTTTTGTGCTTCGCTTCATCTCATCAGTGAATTGCAACGACACTTTGATTTCTAATCCTTTGAGACGCAATGCTTATCGAGTATTAAATGAGTTGTAGAGATATTTAGTAAACTTAACAGCATCATCTTTCATTTACCAAGAATTATTCAGAAAACTGAATCTGATCATTAATCATTTTCAGCTAATTTCGAGCTCCTGAAACAAAGTTTTCACTTTCAGTTAATAAAACCACAAACATCAGAAGTCTCCGCTAAGAACGTGGTAAATTTAACAATATATATCGAGGCACAATGTCCGGATACCTCCCGCTTTGTTCACCGACAATTTTTACCAACATGGCAAGAATTGTCCGTAACAAATAGGATTTCGATTAAAATTGTACCTTTTGGCAAAGCGAAATGTTACTCAGTTGGTACTGACTACAGGTAATTTCAAAATAGTTCTTAATGCTAATTTATCTTCAATATGTGCGTTATATATTGACCTGCATATTATTTGGTTTAATTTTATTAATAATAATAATTTGGATTTATTTCTACAATTTTTTGTCCATAACTTTTTTACTTGAGGTTTTTTATTTATTTTGAGCTTTATGTTAGTGAAAAGGATATTTGCTGTATATGATATATAAAAAGGTGAATAGTAAATGAATAGGTTAGTTTGGACAAATAATTTTGTTGACTAAGCTTATGATCACTTATTATTTTAATTGTGAATGTCAACATGGGCCGCTAGAATGCGAATTGAATCAGCTTATGAACTGCGTAATTGACATGGTTAAGAATCCGCATCAATATGTTCCAGTAATATCTTGCATTCAAGGAAAGCGTGATCTTCATTCAGCCGGATTAAAATGCTTGTCGAAACTTCTTGTGCCCATTAAAAGGTTAATTTCAACAGAAAACGACAGGTTGAAAAGTTGAACGAAATTTTTGGTATTAGCGTAGGCGTTCTGATATCTGACTAGTAGAGTGTTGTTTGCCTTGATGCTGTTATGTTTGTTTGTGTAGAGTGGAAAGAGCTGCATACTTATCGCGTTTTTAGATATGCTTGTGAAAGTGAGGTGCGGTAGTTTTGCACAATACACTTTCTGTTGGAAGATTACTGACCATTCAAAACTCATTAGCGATTGGTCTTCTACTGTTAAGGTATTCACGATTCTTTTCCTTTTCAGTCTCGGAAATTTGCTTACCTACACATTATTATAATCTGAGTATTTCAGTATCTTACTATGCGCTGAAGGAAAAAAAGGACGAAGACTTCTGGCAAAAGCAGGTATAGAAACAAAAAGTTTGCAGCCACCACTATATTTCATTCCTTGGATTATGATCAATGAAGCACGCTCGAGTGATGCATTCTACGATCTGAAAAAGAATCTTTGTGATGCGCTAGATCCCATACCGGACCAATGCAAGGAACAGCAATAAATAAGTTCCGTTCCAGCAATAAATATGTAGTTTTTTTAAAGCATTGTTGTATTAAAGTTCGAAATTAGTCGCTATGTGATTTGAGCTTTTATTATTGCGAATTTTCGGCAAGTAGATTTGACACAGTACGCAAATATGGTAGGTAAATTATAAAATATGAACTTATGTATGAAGATTTTGCTCACTGATTATAACGAAGTATTTGACTATGTGAATGTATGGATTGCTGAGGAAATAGTTTTGTAAATAAGTTGATATTCTCTTTCTGATTTTTTTCCTGTGTTGCCTAAATGATTCCGGTTAATTTCAAATTTTATGCTGAATAATAGTTACCATTGGCATGTTACGCGTTATGTTTTTGTTTTTTAAATTCTTCCTGAGGAATTATAAGAGAGTGTACTCAGGCTAACTGCACACTTTAGGTTTTATCTGGATGATTCATGATAAAAGAGAAAAATTAGTGCGTCAGCCTTGACTTAATGCTATCTGTTGTTTGAAACCTTCTCTGCAATTATTTATGTTGGTTGTCTTCCTAACTTTTTCTGGAATTTTTTCCGGTTGGTTATCTTTCTGACTTTCGTGGATTTTTCTTCAGAAAAATAGTTGCTTGATGTTTACAGTTCAGAACAATGTACTAGTATGTACTACTGATTCTAGCCTCTAAATATCCGAAAAACTTTATACTTTCACTTATCTCCACAATTGATTTTTACTACAAACTACAATTTCCTTTTTATCTCTTATTACAAAGTAATTTGTAGAATACATAATTCATTTGCTGTATTAATCACTATTTTTACTTCTAATTTTGTATATTTTTTTAATTCAAATTAAAATTCTTCACTGCATTAGCTAGTATTTTATGATATTCTTTAGAAACTATGTACTGCCGTCTTGAAATTCCGTTTCAACATTTATAGTGTCTTGCATTTCCCATATGTATTCTTACTGATTACTTTACTTTGAATGAATAGTATTCGATATGAATAGTTTTCTCCATTCTTATTTAGTTGAGTCATTTCACGGATAATTTCATTTTATGTATAAATTATTCATTCCAACGGAATTTTTTCGTTCGTAAGTGACAACTTAAGTATGAAAATTTATTTAGGTAAATGAAAATTTAAATGATTTTCTGAAGGAACTACTAAGCTTCAATTTTCATTTTATTAGCCTATTACATACATTTGAAGATAGTGGGAATGTCATAGTGCCAAATAAAACAATCTGAAGATGAATAACTTAGTAAAAAAAAATTACAATTTAAATAATGTTGTAAGAAACTTTTGCATGAAACAGGTCAAAACTTTTGTAATGGTTGAATGAGTTATTAGACATGTAGAGATAAAGGGAATTTGCAAGGAACTTTGAGCATATTATCACAGCTGTAACATACGAAGTTATGAATTGCGGTTTGTGAACCATGGAGAATTCATGCTATTCGTTATTGTGGCATCAATTTTTTCAAGTCATTAAGTGCTGATAATTATGATAGTTAAATTTTATCAAATTCCCGAATTGTTTGCCCCACCAAATTTTACCATACAAGCAAGGTTATTTGCCTCGCCAATTGCTCACTGTAAGGAAACATTATGTTGCACCGTGGCGCATTGCCACTGCGCTGCATTAGTTGGCAGATTTCAAAACATCGTGATCCTATACCGAATGTCGGAATATGGGATATGTGTGACTCTTATTAGTGTGGTCTTTCGCCGACAAGAAAGAGTTCTGAGATCTCTCGGAAGTTTTGGGATGGGGGGAAGATGGAGGGGATATAAACACTTTTCTAATATAAGTGGGTCTAGAAGCATCTTAATATACTTCAAATGAAGTTCCATTAGCTGAGAAACGTGTTAGCTGCACGACATCTTTTGTATACATATTTTCGCACATGACGACTTCCGAGACCTTGTCCATCTTGTAGATCTCGATGCCCTGCTTGGCTCCATTCTTTCAACTGTATTCCTCGGTTCTTTTTAACTGCATTTGCTAGGTAGTCATAGATAAACCTTAGGATTATGTTGAACCTGTATAATTTTAAAAATCTGTTCTCGTTCCTTTTATCGCTTTAGCATCTTATAACTATTTGTAATAAAAAATCAGAGTTTGTTGATCTTTGTCTTCTCAGATCTTAATATGTGGTACTTTATTGTGGGTTGCGTGGGCTACTTGCCATTTTAAATTCTGATTTTTTCGTGGACATTTTGCCAGTCAGTCTATTCAGAACTAAAGTTCGTCAGCGGATCTGGGACTTTAATCTTCCGCAAACTTTTGTTCCGACTGCTTGAAACGATTGGTTAAAATAAGAACTTTCTTATTGCAGAAATCTATCAGATAACATTAAGTCGTTATATCTCTCACATTATCTTCATCCATCTGTTTGCACATTCAGCGGTTGCTCGTTACATACGCATTGGCTGTTCTGATTCACACCACTGTCACATTCTCGTTTAAAAAAGCAGGAAGATCTTATTTCGTGCCATCCTTTTTTCTCAATTTGTTTATAAAGAAAGATTCACAACGTTTCGATGTCTTTTTTGTTAAAGTGACACGCTATCTCTGATTTTCCTACTGTACCGGTTGTATGGAATTTTAGTGCAGTTCAAAAATCAAGTAACTAAGCTTCATTTTTCGTTGGCAGATACAGTTATCTTTGATCTATTGAGCGCTAGTTTGAAGACCCACTACGATAACAAGTTTTGACATATCAAATTCCCTTGCGTGAATTAACGCAGAATAAATTATCGTACATTTTTCCTTATGATGGGATTGTTTGTTATCACGAAAATGAGCAATACTGTCCAGTCATCTTACTACCTTTTCTCCCTATGATATTAGACTGAACTTGGCTATACTGAGAAAAGCCAAATTGACATGTTGAAAATTCCTGGATATTAGTGATGGCGCATGTAATTGCTAAATTGAACTAGTGCAATTTTTTTCCATTGCTGATTATTAAGTTATGCTTTGATATAACTATAGTTTTATGGGAGAATTTTAACATTCGTATTTTGATGCTTGCTAAATAAAGCAGTGTAATTAGCTTTTTCATTATTTCGCAATTAGTTTTTTTGAATGAAAATTAAAGTTCAATAATTTATTAAATAAAATTTTTCACGCAAGCGTTGAGGGGTGTTAGTGATCTTTTGTTCGTTAAGTTTTTTTCCCATGTATATGAATGCCCTCCTGCTGTTATCATTGAAATGATCCATTCAACGGATTTATCGTTTAGTTTATACGAGGGATTTTCACAAAGGTTGCGAAATTTTTTATTTATATCTATTTGTGCTTTTGGTTTAATAGTTTTTCTTTTGTTTCAAAAATAAATTGCAGGAGTGCTTTGTTTACTGAAAGTCGCACGGAATTCCTGCAATATATGTTGATATTATTTTGAATGTGTGCTAACGTTGAATAAATCTGCAAATATCTTTCTTTGAACTGTATTTATGAAGATAAAATGGTCTTCTATTATATTGCTTTTTGGAAATGAAAATGATTAAGGTACCTTAAATGTTTTCAGTTGTAAATTTAGCAAACGATGTGTTTCTGATTTGCATTTGCTTATCGATTGTGCGACTATTTTTAGTTTGTTTCAGGGGTTTAAGCATTGAGGCTGTTCTGTGAGCAAAATAAAGCTATGTGACAAGCCCAAAAAATATCTGAGCACACATTTATCGGGTTAGCTGCTTAGTAATGAAATATATATATATATAAATTTTAGAAATTAAGGATGATTGATAGCTTACGCTGTATTATGTAACCTTCTTCCTTTTACATTAGAAGAAAACATGTTGTAAAGAAATAAGGATGCGATGATTAATACCCGGTAATTCATATTCCCAGTTATTGGAACAGTAAAGTTTTAAGTTTATACTCTTTTTCATAACTTAATTGTATTGTTTCAACGAAACTTATAAGTTCATATACATATCGCTATTGTTTGGTTTTCTTTTCAGATGATTCAGATTTCATTTTTCCAATCAGGAAATTGCTGTTTTTATTTTCTTAAAAAAATATTTTACCGGAATTTCATTTTCTTTGTAATTTCAAACGTTGAGTGGGAATCATTGAGTAATGAAAGGAAAGATACTATTTTTGGGATTCGTTAATGGAAAATAAACTTGGAGCTTTATGGCCACGGTTTGCTTAACGTTCCATGAACTTCACTTTCTGTGCGTTTTGTCGTTTAAAAGATTGATTTAAAATTTTTCATTGATACATCACAGATATTTCAGTTTGTTTACGTAAATTTATCACAATGTCAGCACCCGGCGGTGGTCGCAAAAAAGCTCTCCTCAAAGTAATTATACTAGGTGATTCGGGTGTTGGTAAAACATCACTAATGAACCAATATGTCAACAAGAAATTCAGTAATCAATATAAAGCGACGATTGGTGCTGATTTTTTGACAAAAGATATATCAGTCGGCGATCGAAATGTTACTATGCAGGTTGACCAGCTTTTTTATTTATTCTTTAATTTGAAATCGAAATTCTTCAAGCACGACTGTGGATGAATAAGCGGGGTTGATAGATATTTGAAATACTTTCATTTTTGAAGGAGTGCTTGTGAGATGATGAAAATTATTTGGGTGCTTTTAAACTTATTATTATGTATGCTCCTAATATTCCACCCTTTTTAAGTGATTACGTAGTCCGGAATTGTCAAGGCTGAAGGAAGTTTTATTTTATCTATATATGTTGTATTTGTTTTAAGGGCAGAATTCGTTTTTCATGCATCTAGGACATCATCATTAGGATAGTACATTTCTCTTGCATTATTTTTATTACTTGCTAGTACTTTTTGAAATTACAAGTTACCACTGTTATATAAAATAATATAAGTTAAATTTCTGATTTATAAAATTGGAAATTACCAAGTAGATCTGAATTGGAATTGTAATACCAGAAGCTGTTTTTTGCAGATTTGGGATACAGCTGGACAAGAACGTTTTCAATCGTTGGGTGTTGCCTTCTATAGAGGAGCGGATTGTTGTGTGC